AGGATACACACATGCACACCCACACACACGGCGCTGCCACAGGTCATCGCAGGCAGAGCTGAGGCTTACTCACAGGCAAGCCTCTGCCCAGCCTCACGCTGCAGACTTCCTCGCTGACCTCAGAGGCTGGTAATTCCAATTAAATGGCAGCTCAACGCAGTTATTAGCAGGACACGAGTGGGAATGAACAAACGATTGAGTCAACACGTCAAGCCTCAGTGACGTAAGGCCCTGGTGAACTCATGACAAGGTCAAACACTGAATCAGACACATGCAAAAAAAATAAATCAGCTGTGCTGCCTGGAAATCCAATCATCTGATTACAAGGTAGCCTACAGAGAGAACTTTCCATAGGCCAGCAGATCATGAAAATCAAACAGCACGCATGTTTCCTAAGGCATTAGTTGACAGAAGATACACAGCCTGAGTACACAAGTCCTCTTCCCCTCTCCAAACACAAACTCAGAGTGGAAGACTCTACAACATAATTCTAGAAATCCACACAGTTGACAGCAGGACAGGTTAAATAGGGAAAAAGAAGATGCATGCTAGTGATACGACCTGAGAAAAATCCCCACACCAAATATACAACAAGAAACGCACAGGGCTGTACGGCAGCTGGTGATCCAAGGAGGAAATGGTAAAGGCAAGGCCATCCCCTGCCTTCTTAACCTAGCACACAAATGGATTTTAGTGTTTTTGTGGACAGAGACAACTGTCACCACCACATACAACTGCAGGATAAAGCCACCATGGCATGCAGTGACACTGCCAAGGGAGTAACTGATGGGTACTCAGGAAAACGCACTGGCAGTGAGCGTTATCTCCCACTGCACAGGGCACTCTGCAGATTCTGCTGGAAAATCTCAGACTTCACAACTCAATATATCCTACCAAAAGGAAAATTATTTTTTCTCTTAGAAATTACAACACGTTCCTTGCACCAAGCACATAAGAACACACTCGGCAGCTACAGGTCAGCAGAGCCGAAGCATTCTCAGCAGAGTGACAAGCTCCTTCTGTATTTAACTGGAAAGACACGGAGTTGTGACTGGTTACTGCAAATGTTTTCAGGACAGAAAGTCCCAGGCTCTGCCAGTTTGTCAAAGCATCTTGTGGATTTTAACACCAACAGCTACAGTGAAGTCTGTTCTGTTCACACCAAATGCAAAGCACTGCAGAGAAGGGATAAAAAAGGGGATGCAGAGCAGAAGAAACACACAACTGTTGTTTCCAACCTCACAGTGGTCGGATGTGTTCAAGTAAAGCAAGCACCCACGAAACATCCCTCTCCTGGGAGAAACAAGCAGGGAACAGAGGCATCGCTGTGGTCAGCAAGCAGAACCAGAACCTCAGGGAACCGCAGGGAAAGCTGCTCCCCTGAGCAGCTACACACCAGTCTCAGTGCAGGCAGGTACAAGAGCAAGTCCAGGAACAACCACTCTTGCACACGTCTGGGTATCTCTACAGTAATTTATCAAGTAGGTATTTTCACAAGTTCATGCTACAGCTCTCCCATTTTCACCCTCTTGCTTACGCAGCAGAAGGAAAGGATTTAGGAAGATGTTAGTTACTAGCAACAAGAGCTAGGAAATATTCACACTGCCAAGTGTTGCTAAGTTTGAGGCCTGAGGGGACTTGGGGGACACCACTATATAGTCAGTCAAGACAAATCGTTTGCTCCTAAGCTTCAAATAAATCTTCTGATTCCATTTGTATAACAACCAGCTCCACCTCGTTGAAAACAGCAAAATATCCAGGCAGTACAGACAAGATCTCTCTGCTTGTCCTCCTTCAGCTGCCTTTATGACACACACCAGTACGTGAGGGTACTTCATTTCCCACCCAGCTTTCGTGCACCAAGAACAAGTTCAGTGTGTGCATTTCTTCTACAGGTGAAGGAGGAGCACATGAGAGAATTCAGGTGCTCAGAGGGAACCCAATGCATACAGGGAACAAGAGCCAGGGAACAAATTGTCAGAGGTGTCTCCTAAGAAGCCAAAATGCTGCTGCCAAGCAAGAACACTTCTACACTGGAGGTGACCCTAAGCCTGAACGTAAAAAAATGCAAGATAAATTGCACACCACTCTGCAACCTTCAGAACGGGAATAAAGGAGGGGAAGATTTAGGAGAAACTGTGTGACTGAGCAGACAGAAATCCCATTTGCCATTTCAAATAACTGCATCTCCCCAAAGGAAAATCAGCTCATTGCTAACAGAAGAAAGAGCTCTCATTAAAGTCAAACTCCTAACAAATCCGACAGCCAACTCATACCAAAAGACCACCAGAGGCACTGTGCCCACCAGCCTGAAAGGAGCGCTGCACCCACGTCCTGCAAGACAACAGCCATCGTGCCCTGCTGGGGCAAGGAGCCTGCCCAAAGGCAGGAGAGCTGGCGGCTGCCTCTTCTCTCAGCAAAACCTGCCATGCACCACCTCTGTGCAAACAAAGCTGGCGATCCATCACAGCTCACGTACACTAGATGGGCCCCTTGAGCTGCAATAAATTGCCACCAACAAGGCAAGGCAATTTATCCGGGCGTTACTGCAGTTACTTCAGCTGTGGCAATTAATACAGGTGGAATAAATCTCTCTTCCCAAATTAGGGCAGCACAGAAGATGGATGTTTCCTCACCACAGTGTGTTCAGTTGAACCTCCCCCCAGATCTCAGGAGTCACATACACATGCTAGGCTGACTGCATGGGGAGAGTTGGACCTGGTAAATCTGTAGGGAGCAAATTTAGGAATGACCTCAAGTGAGCACTGCTCTGTGCTGAGTGAAATAAAAGGATCTCACAACAGGGTAATTACAGACTACAGAGATGTAGGGAGGTAAACAACTGCTCTTTAGGCAGGGGTGGCTAAATAGGCATTAAACAGCATCAAAAAAGGGATGTGTCTGTAAAAGGGATTCATTCCCAGCCAGTAGAAAACTGAGAAAGAGGCAGGCTGGCTAGTGAGGTGCTAGAGCGTCACCATGGGCTGACACCGCTTTGCTATTTATGCTCTCCCAAGTGATTACATTTGACAGGGAGAGCTGATAACCTGCTGAAAATAACTCGACTATCAACGAATCCAAGCCCTGGCTAACAAAGGTTTTTGGTTTTGCAGTTTGTAAAAATCCAGATTAATTCTCAGCCTGAGGAAACGATCTTACAGCCCTACCTCGGAAGATATTACAACGGGGTACCCGTTGTCTAACGACAAGTGAATTGCATCTTTCTGAAAACCTCCACCTGGATTTTACTGAGAACTTAGAAATTAGCTTGCTTTCTTGCAGCAAGTCAGATACAAAACTTACTAGGTTTTTTTGCTGTTTAATTAGAAGGAAAAAGGATATATAATTACCCAGCCTGATGGCCTGCTATAGCTGCTGGGAGGGATCAATGTAAGCCACAGATGAAGGCCAGCCAGAACCTCCTCGTGTGCACACAGGTACGGGGATGTACTGGGGACCTTTAGGCACTTGGTTCAGCTCAGGGCCTGGCGCTTACGGGCTCCTTGCTGCAGCAACGGACCTAAGCTGACCAAGGCAAACACCTGTCCAAATATATGGGGATGCTCCAAATATGAGAAGGTGGAGAGGAGGCCTTAAAAATAGGAAGAGGAGGAATTCCCAAATCCCAAGGTATTTGGGAAGGGCATTGGCATAGGGAGACGTTATTTCATGTGGGCAAAACTGGGGAGAGAATACGTGGGGGCACGTGGTTAAACAGAGTGCCACACATAATGACGTACTTCCCAGTGAGTACATAATAGACTGGGAGTTGTAGCAACACTGAAGGGAAAACAGGTTGTCACTGATGGTAAAAGTAATGAATAATTCTGGAGCCTTCTCTCATTTCTGCTCCCTCCCTCCCCCATCCAGTGGGAATGTGCCAGGCTCCTTCCCAGCAAAATAATTATTTCTGTAAAACATTCTTCTAAGTTGCAGTATTTCGGAAACTGAAAACAGAGGCAAATGCAAGTGCTTAGTGGGACCTTTGAAACCCCAGCTGCGAAGACTCAACTCTAAGTACGTTTTTGCACATGCACAGCCCTGAATCTGACTCATGACTCTCTTCTCGTGACAGCAAGACATGGGATTCTGGCAAAAAAGGCTTTTGATAATTCATATGGATTCTTACTCAGGCACATTTGGAGGAAGAAGGCAACAGAGAGGAGGCATAAGGGATGCATCAAAGGAATAGGGCTCACTTAGTGGTTTTTCCTGAGTGATCCATCACAGGCAGTTCTGAGGCACAGGCAGGGTGGTGTAAGATGGAAATCTATGCTTTATCTGACACATTTTATGCATCTTGCTGGAGCACAGCAGCCAACAAGTGTAGCCTTGAATATCAGGTCAGATTAAAGGCTCCCCTTAGGTCCTTATTCACTAGGGACTGAAGCCACCTTGCACTTTTAAGGGCTGGAAACATTCAGATTTACCAGGTGCAACTGAACACAGGGTAGTCCTCGTGTCTGCAACTCCAGCTTGCCAAAGGACAAGACAGATATGGGGGAGATGCACCATTAAGAACCTCTCCCACACACAAGGCAGATGGCAAAGCAGAGCGTGCAAGTCGCAGCTGACTCAGAGCTGCATACCAGAGGCCTCACCTCCAGTCACATGTGTGTGTGTGTGTGCACGCACACCCGGGGGAGACATTTAATGCTCACAGAGCTCTTCCCGACTGGATTTCAGCGTGAGTACAAGAGCATCAGGGCCAGAACCTGTGTTGGAATTCAGCCAGCTACCAGCCTGTGAACCTAGCCAGCGTGCTGCCACGCACTGGGAGGAGGGCAGACCCTTCGGTGTCTGGCAGCTCTTTCACACTGGCATTTCTAAGCCTTTTGCAAGGTTCCGGAAACATGTTTAAACCGCGGCGTTGTGTATTGTACAAGAACAGATCTGCCTTTGAATAGTGCAAAACAAATCCTCATTGGCTTTCCACCACCCCACCAAAAATTATTATTGTTTTAAATCTTCTAGCAGCATTGACCGAAGTGTAAAGCAACCTGGTTGGCTTCCATGCATCCGATGGCCTCTTCCAAGAGTGAAAACTCCACGCAGACATAGCCATAGTCGTAACCTGGGGACAGCATTTAAATACAGACGGGAGTCATGTTAGTGCCTTGTCATAAAGAAAGCCACATTAAATATTCAATTTCCCTTTCTCTCCAGTGACAAACCCTCTAACCACCCCCTCTATACTCCAGAATGAAAAGGAGAGAAATCAGGGACTAGCTGGATGATGACTAATTGTGCAGTTTATCATGAATTTTAATAGTGCAGTGTTCCCACTTCCCCTTACACAACCCACTGACAGGCACACCCTTCCTTAGGGCAAGAAATAATCACTTTTTTTTCTTTTTAAGGCATTGTGATTTTCCATACTAGTTTCACATTTTGTTCTGCCTTGGAAGCAGCGTTCTCCAAAGCAAGTGTTGGTAAAAGTCACTCCAAAGTACCTTGCTGTGAATGTATTTTACACCAATGACCAGCATTTTCATTTGGGCAACGTTTCAAAACGAACCATCACAATTCCATTACCTTTGCTATTTCCCATTCAACATATGCTTATTTTTCAAGTCCGAATCCCTTGTACCATGAAACAGAACAATGGAGCAGGAAGCGATAACTCCAACTTTCTCGTTCTGGTATTTTATTTCCAATAGACATGACTGTACGTTTAATAAGAGGGCGCGGGAGCTTAAGTTTAGCAGCAAGAAACTAGAGAGCCTTTACTTTTCTCCTCCTTGGAAGGCTGCCATCTCAGTCAGCAGCTGATCTGTGCTCCAGTTACCTGCACTGAAATCTCACGTCCCACGGTAAAGAGCGAGGTGAACGTTACAGAAGCTAAGAGCATCCTAAGAGCCATGCTTGGTGTTGGAGGCAGCTCCCAGAACCCAAGAGCTGAGCACCAACCTGAGGTCAAACCTCACCCTCCCCGTGCCACGCTTCCCTCAGGCCAGGCACCCCAGGCTGCTGGAATTACCCCCGACTCCCTCCGAAACTACTCCCAATGATGCTTGCTGCACTCACCAGTTTTAACTTTTCTGGTTTTGTTGCTGTTTGTGGTGGGTTTTTGTTTGTTTATTGATTCTTTGTATTTATTTTTTACCATCTTCACACTTCCACACTTCAGAGACAAGTCCAAACAAATCTATTCCATCACCAAACCCCACTGCTTTTTAATTGGGATCTCTCTCACATCCTCTCTCTAACAACACACCCCTGACTTTGCACATTTGCTGTTAGAACAACACTCCAGCTTGAATCTAGCTCCTCCTCTATCTCACATTGGAATTTACTTCCCTCCCACATACTGTTTCTGTCAATATTAGCACATCAGAAGGAAATTTATCAATCTAGGTGCTTTTCAGCTCAGTGCAAGAGGCAGACCAGCATCACACCACCCGTGATACCACTAAAGCCACTTGATATCGTTGCATCAAGAGGGCAGCTAGAACTTGAGCTAGGGTTTCAGATGGCAGAAGCAGCAAAAAATAAATAAATAAATAAAAATCATAGGCTCTGCAGTTCCAGCCACACCAACTAGCCTTTAAAAATAAAAGCAGTCCTCTGCTCTGCAGAAGAGAGCTGCTCTCCAGGAGCAGTGCTGCCCCTTGCTGGGAGACTGCTTTGCGGAGCAGCACACAGGCTCTCACAGGGTGTTTGAAAGCTGCCTTCAAATCCAGGTCTCTAAAGTCACTTCTCTCCTCCCCTCATGTTTAGAAGAGGCTTGCTTGAATGCTATTTATCAGCCTGTAGGACTCCCAGGAAGGATTTCCAAAAGCTGCTGTAGTCAGCAGGCCGGGATGAGAGCCCTGTCTTTGTTCTGTGAGCACGTGAAGCAAGCTGTCTCCAGACAGACTGGAAGAAGATTGCACAAGTTTTCACTCGATTTGCTCCATGTGAGAGGCAGTTTACACCCGATGTCTGATGAAGTGAACGAGTGTTTTAGATGTGGATTTAATCCAGCATGACAGAGTTGAGCACAGCGCTGATGTTGTTGATGTTGGATGTAAAACCTGAGGTCCTCAGAGGTCTGTACGCTGCAGACCCATGCCAGCGACGAGGAAGATCAGCACGTTTTGCCTTGTGCAATTCCTTCCCTCCCTCTTCCCCACCAAACTCAACCCACCTAATAAGCACTGCTGCAGTTAACATACACGGTGAGAATGAAACCCAGAAATTCTGGCCCCACATCCTGCCAAAAAGCAGCTTCAGGCCACACATTCATTTCTTGTGGTCGGGTTGCACAGGAACGTCGCATTCCGCGATTCAGTACCAGCTGTCCTTGCACAGCACCGAAGCAGTGACACAAGAGAGCAGCCTGGAGCCACTGCTCCACTCCAAACTGCCCGTGAAGATCTGGGGGGGCTCGGAACTTTTCTGTCCCCCATCCCCAGGTCAATCCTCTTTTCACAGATCTGACCAGCGCAGGCGATGTGTGAAAACCACACAGCATCAGCAGCTTTCGACAGCACAGCCCCTCTGCCCCCAGCTCCAGGACAACATCCTTCCATTTTAGAGCTGGAAAGCCCACTGAAACGCAGGAACAACAGCACAACCACACCACGCCTTGGAAATGCAATATTTGCTGATTTTTTTGCCACCGTTGGCAATAATCCCACTACCCAGAGGACAACACTTCAAATAAAACTTGAGTGCCTTGAGGCTGGCTAGAGAGGCTGCTGCCAGCAACTGTTGTGCTTCTCTGCCTCCTTCGTAGGGCTGCTTCAGCTCTTTGTGCAGCAGCTGCTGAGCTTGCCTATGTTTCTTTCTGAATGCAGTTTGCCTGTCAGAACCCAGCAACTCTGCTGCTGCTACCAGAAGCAGGGCACAGGATTTGACAGGCAGATGCACGGGGACAGGCACCGGTACAACAGGCACCCCAGGGTGAGCTGTCCTCCCCTGCACACCAGAGCTCTGGGACACCTACCAGTATTCTCCAGGGCTTATCAGTAAGAGCAAAATGATCAAACCAGCAACGCAGAATCACTGCTGATGACTACAGCGTGGCTTTGTGACTCAAGGTGGCCTGAACTCACAGGCAAGGTTTCACATGAAGACATAAAGCCAAGTATCGTCTTAATCACTTGTATCACCGCTGCTTCGGGCTCCACAGGAAAAAAATACAAATAAGGAACTGAGTAAGAACTGAGTAAGGAATGCTTTGTTTTGGCAGAAGTGTTTGATATCAACACCCTCCCCAAATTCTGAGCGTACTGGAGCAGTAGCTGCTCAAACGAACTCTCCAACAAGGCTACGCACCAGTCCTCCAACACTTGAACTCCCCCAGTTAGTGAATGAGTTTGTTTTCCTGAAGTGCTTCTGTGTATACACAACCTTTATGGATGCTTCCAAGGCATGCTCTGTTGTTTTCTGCACTGACAACGAATGTGAGCACTCTATACTACTAAGGACACATGTTTAAAGCTCCAGGAAGCTGCTGTGCAAACATAATAAAAACAAGGAATATTTTTGCTTCTTAACCATGCATTTCAGTGGAGTGATTTCTGACGACACATATCAGGTCTTTGTTAGCATGCCACAGTTTGGCTAAAAGTCCTGAAAGCCTCGTTTAAAATTACCTTTATTGGGATTTAGATAAAAAATGAGATGCACTTGAGATTTAAAATAAGCCTTGTTTCTATACACACATGATTTCTACTGAACAATTGACACACAGTAATGCATCACTTCACGATAGTTTGCTATGTCAAGATCTAAAACAAAGACAATGTTCTTCTGGTATGTGCTGGAAGTAGCATGAAGACATCAAAAATGTTTCTCTGGAGTTTTAGGAAGCCAAATGAATAAATCATGTAACAACAACGACCCTGATCTATGCCAAACTGAAGATACTGAAGGCATGATGGCAACGTGACAAAGGCATCCAACTGAAGAGATCTGATCCAGCTCCTTGATTCTAGGAATAAGCACACCCCAAGAGATGGAAGTGCTATAGAAGAAGAACATTTGTAGTTTTGTGTACTTCTAGGACTCTGAGAGATGGCAAAGGCAGCCTGCTGAAGGAGGCTTGCTCTCTGCTGGGGCTTGCTCTCTGCAGAGGCAACGGGGCAGAACAGAGTGCAGCCAGGGAAATCCCCTGCAGAGCTCCATCCACGTTAGAGAGGAAAGCTCTATTGCTTCAAAGGCAGCTACAGCATCAAGTATGGAGAGAAAATGAGATCCCTTCAAGGGCTGTGGAAGTCCCTATGATCTCACACAGCTGTGGAGACAACATTTTGCACATTTCTCGCCAAATCAGCTTTTGCTTGGTTGACAGGAATCACTACCTCGTTTGTGGGAGGTTTTGGCAGCGTGTCCATGACTCCATGTGGAAATCTGGCCTGTTTCCTCCAAGGGAAGCTGCGTACAGATTACCTGTGTGAGGCAGCCCAGGAAGCCTGTGAAGTCGTCCTTACTAAAGAGTGAATACCTCATCTCAAGAAAATACCAGAAAATGCAGGGCTTTCTCCATAGCTCCACACTGTTAGAGCGCACTGTTCTGAGCAGGGCCAATATACTCGATGCTGCCAAGAAGCCAGGACCTCCTCAACGTGCACAGCAGTGCATGGCCAAGGATGGGCGCACCGTAGCATGCAAGGATGGGCAACAGCACAGTGCCTTCTGCAGCGAGCAGAGAAAATAAAGTTGTCCACAGCCTGCTCCCTTGGAGGGCGCCCCCGCAGCGAATGGCAGCGACCGATCTGTGCTCACACACACTCAGAAGCCAAAAGCGAGAGCGCTCTCCACACCAGCTGGTGGATTCAGAGCTTCCATAAATTTGTCAGGCCTCTTTGCTGCACAGATGCGTTGGCCTCCCCAGCTCCGAAAGCTGAAGAGCTGGATCAGAGAAGCTTGCTGCTGAATAACAAACAGGACGATCTGCACCAAGCCACGTCCCCGATTCCTTTCGAAGGCTGAGCACTTACAAGCCACACCTGGCTGGTGAAAAAAGGGCTGTCACTTCATACTGTCCCTCTTTATTAAAAAAGATATTCATGACAGTGCTGCACAAGAGAACAGCACTGAAACCAGAAGATCTGACATGCAGCTGTCCTAAAAGGTAGCATGCTA